TTAAGCCACTGGGTCCACGATTTGAACCGCAGTCGGCTACATGGGAGTCCAGCAACATAGCCATTATGCTAACTGCTGATCCCAACACCATTGTTTATAGTAGTGAAAAATCGGAAATGATCTAAAAATTCACCAGTAGGAATACGTAAATAATTTAAGGTACATTCATACAATGGAAATACCATGCAGTTTTAAAATAGATAAAATACATCTTTATCTACAGATGTAGTTAGGCGAAGTGACAGAAAGAGATCATAAAACGCCTTTTTTTTTAACGTGATAAAAGCAAATTATACAACTGTATACACACATATATACATACATATAAAATGATCACTTTTCTGTTTAGAAAAAAACTGTGTGTGTGTGTGTGTGTGTGTAAATGCATAGAAAAGTTCTGACCAAATTGCTTGACATCTTTTATTTGTAAACCTGGGCATGGGATTACACATGTGGGTGAATGAATTGGGGCTATTTTTCCTCGGTATATTTCTTTGTTCTTTGAAACCCTTTTACAATCAAAGTGTATGTATTCTTCTTTGTTCTTTGAAATCCTTTTACAGTCAAAGTGTATTACTTTTGTAACTTTTAAGTGAAAAAAGAAGGATGACTAAATTAGGTGCTGTGTATTTCTGAGAGTTCCCAAGGAAGAATCCTGAGGGCCGCAGTAGTGTAGTTGTTACATTAGAATCACATTGTGCCTCTGTGCAGTGTGATGGGAACAGTTTCTAATTTGCGCTCTGTAGCCTTGGGAAAGACACAGAGTTTCTGAGCCTCAGTTTTCTTATATAGAAAATGTAGATAATACCTGCCCTATTTTATTGGGCAATTGTGAAGATAAAATGGAAAGTTTAAAAGTGTTAAAGCCCTGCAGAAATGGAAAGGATATTTATTATTTAATATGCCAGTTAATAGCCAATTTCTTTGGAACTCTAGTCAATAACATCAAAATTCAGTTCTAAGTAGAGAATTTAGATGAACTCTTAGTTTATTTTGATAGAATTCTTGCTATCTCCATTAGATCTTATATAGTAACAGTGTAGTATTTCACTTAAATGTTCCTAAGTGTTTTTTGTTTGCATGAGAGATTCTGGTGCAGATGGGTTTTGTCAACACCCTTAAATCATGCCCTCCACCTCACCCACTTTAGGGCAAACCAGTTCAAAATGTTGAATTACTTAGGAATCTCCTATTTACTTAGTACCTACTTTGTGCCTAGCACTCCCACGTGGTTAAGTAGCTAGCTATCCCTATTTAATGGGGGACTGTCACAATTTATGCTGCCTGTCCCATGTAATTACTAATATTTCCCCTCTCGCCCTCAAAAGTATCTTAGTTTGAGTGATCAGTCATATGGTCATGTTACTATGGTCACCTGTGGGGTATGGAAGGAAACACGAGAAGCCCTGGGTGGCAAACACTAGATTTACAAATTTCTTTCTCCATGACAGCTTCCCACCCCTAGGAATGCCAGTATTACTTCCCTGGGACCCATAGTGAAAACTGTGGGATTTGGGGAGATTCAGTGGATTTAGAGATTAAGGTAAAACCAAGACTGAAAAGAGATGGTGGTTGAGGTGCTGAACTCAGATCTCCAGAAAGGCACTCTACAAGTTGTCTTCCTATGATACCTCTTCTATCAACAATTTCTCTGTATTCCCTTGCCTAGTCTGCCTAGTCAGAGATTTATTTGGAGAAAATAAGCATTCTTTAAAATTGTTTTTTAAAGTTTTTGTTTTTGTTTTGTTTTGTTTTTAGAGGTTTTTGCTATAGGGCGCGTGTGCTTGCCAGACAGAGAAAGTCATAGAGACAGAAAGCGAGAAATCACCCGCCAGGGGCGATGGCCACGCCGCAATCCCTTCTCCTCCATTCTCCTCTCAGGATCTTGGGCATGCACGCACACGCGCCCGGCGTGAGTTTTAAGCCACTGGGTCCGGGACGTGAACCGTGGTCTACTACATGGGAGTCCAGCGACATGGCTAACTGCTTGTTCCTAAAGATTTTGTTTTTTAAAAGGTTTTTTTTTTCCTTTTTTAATAACCATAAGGAATATGTGCTTGTGACACAGAGAGTGAAAGGGAAAAAACATCCCCAGGGGTATGATCACCCCGCAACCCCTTCTCCTCCATTCTCTCAGGATTTGAGGTATGCATGCACACATGCCTGGCGTGTTTCTCAAGCTATGAGGTCCAGGACTCAAATCACATAGTAGACTATATGAGATCCAGCCTCCTTTACCACCACACCACCTGACTATCCCTAATCATTCTATGTTTAATAGCGCAAACAGGTCGAGGAATGTTCATGAATCTTGATTTTCCTCTCTCCTGTCATGGAGCTGATGTCTACTTGTACAAAGGAAGGGGGTTGTTCCTTGGAGAAATAAGAAAAGAAAGGAAAAAGTAATTGTGGAGCATGGGATATACTAGGGATTAATACTCTTCCTTAGGGCTGCTTAGGGACACAAAGAGGCTGGGAGCCATGAAAGTGGAGGCAGAAAAAGAGGTGGGTGTTAGAGACATGCAACAGTTACTTGGGGGAAAAAAAAAACGTTATTTTGAGCACAACCCATGTCTTGGGAAAGGAAAAGAAGGTTCTTTCTCAGGCACCTGCTGCTCCAACTTTCCCTGCCCTGTTTGGCCCAGTACCCAGAATTTAAACCAGTGCTAGACTATGTGCTACATTAAGTCTGCGAATAAGACTTCCATTATAGCATTGCTTCTGCAGGAGTGTGTATTCTTGGATTTAATGAATGCAGTTACCAACTCATTTGAGGAAGTACCCTTTCAAAAGTTGGGAACTGCTTATATAAGACCTGGTTCTGGGGCCAACAAGTAGCATAGTGGTCAATGTGTTGTACTCCCACATGGTCAACTGTGGTTCAAGTCCGGACCTGGTTTCCTTTCTCACTTTCTGTGTGTGTGTGTGTGTGTGTGTGTGTGTGCATGTGTGTGTGTGTCTGGTGAGTGTGCATGCCCTATAGCAAATTAATAATAATAATAATAACTAATAAATAATTCTTGAAAAATAAAACCTGGTTCCTCACTGAAGGGATTCACAGTCATGGAATTTAGGGGATTACCTAGTTAACAAACAGAAAACTATTGGAGAACAATCAAATACCAACTGTAGGAGACTGGCTCTGAGTACAATATGAATGAATGCTCGATTATGCTAGGGGGAATATAGCACATATGCTTTATCGCTTTCTCTCTCTCTCTCTCTGGTGAGTAATGCTCCTTACTGCAATTTAAAAAAAAAAAAGATAAGAAAAGAATGTTTGTTTTCCCCCAAATAAATCTCTGACCAGGAGGACTAGGAAAGGCAATAAAGAGAAATTTTCTGAGGGAGGAGGTGTTGCAGGAGGACAACTTAAAGAATGGCCCTCTGGAGGTCTATACCATCTCCTGTCAGTCTCTGTTCTGGCTCAACCTCTAAGTCCACCACATCTTCAGAAGACCCACAGTTTTCACAGTGACTCCCCTGGAAGTAATACTGGCATTTCTAGTAATGGAGAGGTATATTGCAGATGGAAATCTTCACATAGCATAGCATGATTGATCTTCACTAAGAATATACTTGAGTAGCAAGATGAGAGAGGAGAAAATTCTAAATAGTGATGGAAGTCCCCTGGAGTAAAGGTTTGGCATCAAATATGAACATGAATGCGAAAGGCTACAAGAAGAAATCAGGCCTGCTAGAAGCAAAATGGCTTTCTGGGAATTAATGGGAAATTGGCTTGGCTAAAGTTCTTTGGGGGTCAGACATTTCTGATAAATGAAAGTTTGTAAAATATATCACTTGAAACCTGCATACTTTTCATGAGACTGAACACTTAGAGGCAGTAAATCTTGACAACACTTTTCCGGTGGATGATTTAACATGACTAAAGTTCAGATTAGGTGAGGACTGGGTCTTGGAAAGTTGGGCATACAAATCGAGGACTTTGAGCTCAATGAGAGAGTCCATATTTAGCATTATTGAAAATGCTTGATTAGAGTTAGAACATTGGCTTGTGGCTAATATACAGGATGAAGAAAGAAGTCAAGGAGATAGTTTAGGAAGTTGCTAGAGTAGGACCAGGTGAGGAGCTGAGTAACAGGACCAGGATGAAAGTGGCAGATTGGAGAAGGGACAAATCTATAGCCACTGTAGAGATCAAAACAACAAAAGAAGAGCCAGAGAAACTCTTAGGTTTCTCAGAGTAACTTAAACAAAAGAGAAACTTAGAAAGTTCATGTTTACATGAAGGTTTCTTACCTATGCAGCCTCTCCTGCCCTCCTAGTGAACCTCTCTTTCCAAGGAAACCCTATAGCACATGTTCAGTAACTTAATTCTATAAAAATGTGGACTTGTCCAACAGAAGTCTTAAAGCATTTGTTTGCTAATCTAATTTCAAAATATTATGTTAGTAAGTGCTATAAGGTTTATAACCTGGGAGATATAAGCATGCAATTCATTCTATTACCAGTTTTGGTGGAGGGCAGTGACAACTGCCAGTGTTTCAAAAAATGTGACATATCCAGAGTTGGTTCACATAAAAGTAATACTTTTGCGCTTAATAACCCCTCTGCCCTTCCTATGAACCCCTTCTCCCAAGGAAACCTTATAACACCAATTTACTAACCTAATTTGTAAAAGGAGGTTAGTGAAACAGTGCCGTAAGACTTTCATAGAAATATCTGAAATTAATTAGCCTTGTCAGCTTTTATTTATATAGGCTCTCTTCCAACTATATCCCCCCAAGTATAACTTTTTAATAAGATTGATTTTAAACAATGAAACTTAGAGAATCTGTGTACAAAGAACTTGAAGAATTTAAATATGTGGGTTTATCATTAACACAGTAGCAAATATATCAGGGAAACACGCCCCATGAAAAGTGTTTCAAAGAAACACAAATCTACACTGAGAAAGGTCTGTACCCAATAAGTAAGCCTCAAGAGGCATGTTTGCTTGGTGATGCCCAGTAGATAAGCCTAGCAAAGCTCGGTGTGATTGAAGAAGCCAGTTTAAGACTCAGCCTAGTCAGGCAAGCCACTGGCACTTGAAGATCTCAGCAAGCCTGGACACAATGGTTTTTGCATTTTGGAAGGTCTTTCTGATCCTAAACTGCCTTGCAGGTAAGGAAAGGATAGCCAAACCACCAAGGATAATTGGAAATGGAGTTTCCTTTTAAACTGAAATTGCAAATTTTTACATTGAATTTTCTTTTCCTGTACTTCAAAGGAATTGTGATTAGTATGCTGAGTAAAAGAATTTTCAGAACTCTTGCTTAGTAAATGTGTCATGCTGATATTTTGGGGGACCAGTCTGTAACATAATTGTTTTATGGAACTTTTGAATGAAAATTTTCTGAGGAAAAAAGAATCACAGTATCATTCTTCACTATGTTTACAAGGTGGACAAGTGAATTTATTCAGAAGTCAAAGTTTGTGCTAAAATAATTGTTTCCTGTCTTACTGTTTCTTTTATGCTCACTGTGATTGACTAGCCTTGCTACAGCAGGCAGAGCCAGGTTAGAGGGCCTGCTGTGGCTTACGTATGGAAAGAGCAGACATTTACTGAGTGCTTTTCTCTCTAATATTTCTTGGGGAACTGTGGATTTCCAATCCTAAGATTGTATTTAGAAAAATACGTAATTGATTTATCGTTGTGCGTGGTATGGGTGATTTTAGGGATTTGAGCAGAACTAAAGCATTCTTAGAGTCAAAATCCTGATGTTGGTTAGGCCCAGGAGAGAGCACTAATTCAGAAAATCCCTTGGCTAGTTTTTTCAAATACAAGCTACATTTTGAATCTGTCTTTATGACAAGTTAGGTTCATGTTAGATATTTTATTGTTTATTAAAAAAAGAAGGTAGAAATTTTTAGGTCATCCACAATATTAGGTAGTCATTAGAATGAAGTTTATTAACCATATTTAATGACAAGAAAGTGTCCAGGGTAAAATAATAAATGAAAAATGGCATATTTACATACATGTCTAGAAAAAAATTACTAGTAATTTATATACTGAAGTGTTTTTAGTGGTTACCTCTGGGTGGTAGAATTAGATGACTTTGTTTTCATTCTCCAGCTTTTTTACTTTCCGGGTTTTTTACAAGAACATTACACTATTTGTACCATTATTTAAAAGTACTACTTGTCAGAACTATCTATTATTTAGTAATAGTTCTTTGAATGTTTACTACTAAATGTTTAAACACAGATGTTTCATGGAGTCAAAAGTCACCAGAACACAATACTGTATTTATCCCGTGACCTAAACAGGTCTTAGAGATAAAAACGTGTTGCTATTTTTTCTTTCCCAGAAATAGACATTTAAATTCAACTTTAGACAGTGAAAGTCTGTCCCTTCTTGAAGAACTTCCAGTCATTAGCCAATTTGGTCTACCCTTGGCCTTCTGTACCAGCTCCCCCTCAACCACACCTGCAGTCATCACCTGCTTTCCTATGTGAGGCCTTCTCCTGACCTATACTAGACACAGGGTTGGGAACAGTTGCAGGAGTGGTTTTTACTGTAACTAACATATACGAATTTTTTACTAATTACAAATTGAATGTATGGTCATTGTAGAAAGGTTGGCAAAGATGGAAATGTATAAATAAGAAAATAAAAATCACCTGTAATCTTATCGCTCAAATTAGGATGAATTTATCATTGTTTTCTTTGTAAGTGTATATATTATATTCAAAAATTGGGTTTATACCTTGTATACAATGTTTTTATTGTTTAAAATACTATTTAGCATGATGTCAATATCTTACTTGTTTGTGACGTTTAGAACAAGGCCCAATTAGTGTGACCAATAAATACTTCGGAATGTTTATTCTGAAATTATTTAACTAATTTTGTTGGCATGTCATGTATACTGCATATCTATACATATATGATCTAGTTGGTCCCAGGCAAAATCTATTACTGTCAATGCAGTAGATGGAATGGAAACATGGTATATTATTGTTTGTTCTACTACACATGCATGGAAGTTAGAGAAAGGGAGATTTAGGCAATCCATATCTGGCATTGGCAGTGTCCATCAATTGATCCAGATCTGACTGTGGAACAGCAGATGATGTTTCCATAAACATAAAGTTTGATATGATACCTAGACCTGCTTCAGAGAGAATGTCACTTTTTGGTGCCAAGCATGGTGCCTGACACATAGTGGGCCATGGTAAATGTTTATTGAAAGAATAAATTACCTTCTCAAACCCCAAACATCCAGAAATAATCTTCATATATATATTTAAAATCAATTTGCTGTGTAATTAAGCAGGACAGATTTTATTTTAATCAAAATATTTTCAATGACTTCTTAGGAAGTCTTGGGTTAAATTCCAAGTCAGGAAAACTAATTTTATTCACAATTTTTTTCTGCAAAAAATTCATACATATTATTTTAGGTACTTATTGTCTATGTTAGTCACTGGTTGGAAGGATATGTTAATAATTATTTTCATTTTCTGTACGCATGTACTATGCATTTTAAAGCAGAAATATATTTAAACTTTGGTTTTGCAGTGAAATCAAAAAGTGAATGACCATTTGTTTATATTATTAATTCAAAAATGAAGCAATAATACATCAAGTTGCTGGAAGCTAACTCACTTCGAATGCATCAGGTTAAATATGGTTATATGGGGGAAATTTTTACTATGGTTTATTAGGGGAATAATATTCCTATTAGCAAGATGCTTGTCACACTGCAGAGTTCAATAAATGAATTATCATTACCAAATACAAAACATTTTCAAATCTTCTTAAATGCCGAGTCATTTAAGTGGGATTATCTTGAATTATTTTTCTATAATAATGAGCACTGATTTTTAAAAGAAGTTACACATATTTCAACCACATATGCATTTTTTTTTAATTCAGTCAGGTCAACGAAGAACACCGCAATATTCAATTTTGTATAAATCAGGTACCGATCTCTAGTTTGCTATTTATTCACAGGCCTATTAACATAGAACTTTTTCTAACTTTTTCAATTTTGTATAATTTCTCAGTTTAGAAAGAATTAATCTAAAGGAAGAGAACGTTTTCCCTCTGACACTCATAGAATCACGTCCAGTTTAAGACTAAATGTGCACTGTCTACTAAGCACATGTGGTCATCTAAATTTAAATTAATTCAGATTAAGTAAAAATGTCCTCAGTTTCATTAGTCATACTTTAAGTACTCAATAACCACGTGTGAAAATTAGTTACTGAACTGGACAGTGTAAAGAGAGAGACTATTTCTATCCTCACAAAAAGTTCTGATCGTATAGCACTGGGCTAGATGACGACCTCAGATATTTAAACAATGTGCACTAATTGAACGACGTGGCACTTTTAACAAGCTCATCCAGAGATATGTAGCTCTCAGCTCTGAAGTATTTTGTCATTAAATTAGGGCGAGACAATGTCTGAAAACCATCTTTTCTTCAGAATTTAAGAATTGGTTATGGTGCTGAGTGTTGGGGAATCTGGACAGTAGAATGGTCTGGATGTTTTGCCTAGCCAGTTACTATTTACTTGATAATGTAATTATCCTTAAGAAAATACTGTTTTACTTAAATTTTGAAATTATCATCATAATTTTAAGGTGATAATACTGAGCTTTAACATAGCTCAAGTTAGTTATACATTTATATAGCTTCTATTTTTTATTTTATGATTTCCTATTCACATTTAATTGTTGTACATCTCTATAGCAAACAATATGGTTTTTCAAAGTATGCATGCAATTGGGGACCAGCAGTTAGCATAATGACTATGTCGCTGGACTCCCACGTAGTCGACTGCGGATGGAGTTCCAGACCCGGTGGCTTAAACTCACACCGGGCACGTGTGTGTGCGTGCCCAAGATCCTGAGAGGAGAGTGGAGGAGAAGGGATTGCGGCGTGGCCTTCCCTCCGGGGGCAGGGGGTGACTTCTTGCTTTCTGTCTCTCTGTCTCTCTCTGTCTTTCCAGCAAGCGCAAGCACCCTGTAGCAAAAAACCTCTCCAAAAAAAAAATAAGTATGCATGCAGTATATGAAAATCAAATCAAGCATCTTACTATATATATCATTTTCAGTGGAGAACTTTACATTCTTTATGTCTGTTAAATGTTTTTTCCCTGAGCCCCTTCTGCCCACCCTCTACTATCTATTTTTTTTAAATGTTGGAAATGTTCAAATCAGATTTATAGTTTCTGAATCCCTGATTTTCATTTATCTCCATTCTATAAAATGCTCCTGCCTCATTGACATAGCAGGGAGATTATATCTATCTTGTTCATTATTTCCTCAATGTAAGCACTATTTGTGGCAAAAAAAAAAAAATAGGGGCTGGCAGGTGGCATGGTGTTTAAGGCACTGGACTCCCTCATGGCTGACCATGGTTCAAGTCCTGGACCTGGCTTGCTTTCTCACTTCTCCCCCCACCCCTCTGTCTGTTTCTTTCTGTCTCTCTCTGTCTTTCTGGCAAGCACATGCACCCTATAGCCAAATTAAGAAACAATACTATTAATGGGACCAGCAGTTGGCATAATGGCTATGCTGCTGGACTCCCATGTAGTCTACCGCAGTTCGATCCCAACCCAGTGGCTTAAACTCATGCCAGCACATGTGCGTGTGTGCCCAAGATCCCAAGCGGAATGACCATCCCCCCTGGGGGTGATTTCTTGCTGTCTCTTCGTCTCTCTCTGTATTTCTGGTGAGTACATGTGCTCTATAGCAAAAACCTCTCCAAAAAAAAAAATCAACAAAAAAGTGAATAAAAAATTATAATTAAATAAATAATTCTTTAAAAAAAGTAAGATGCTCAACAGATGCTTGTTGCTAGGATCCAAGGCTTCTTTCATGACTTGCCTTGGGTGAGAACAGAGCTTACTCTCCCTTCAAGGGCTTTTGCTGACAGTAGCCATCAGTATTGTAGTTGTTGTTTATTTGCTTGTTCATTTTCCTTATCTGGTAATAAGTTCCCACCATTACCCAACCCCATAACTAGAGATATTGGGACCAAAACTAGGGGGAAAAAATGGTGTCCAAATAATACAGTGGCTCCTCCAGATCCATGGGGCATTGGTTCCAGGACTCCTCGTGAATACCAAAATCCACAGATGCTTCAGTCCCCTATGTAAAATGGCAT